CGTATCGGTTTATTAAAGCGCCGTAGGACATTTTCACGTGCTGATTACACATCAATAGGGTTATTCACGACCTCCGTTTCCTTTTTTTTCCGCGGGACGTGTACGGGTTACCATTGGCGGAAAATTGGCTCGGCGCCAGATCGGGCTTAAAGCTTTTCTACCGTTCCACTGCAAATAATACGCTAGAAGCTCATGTCGAATCGTCAGCCGGATATACTTTTAAATTCGTTACACAAACCGTTAAAGAATATTTGCGATCATATATTTCTTTCGAATCACGAGTATATCGTGACGTGTACGATCGATACAAATAAGGGAAGACGATCGCGGTACTCGGATAGAACGAATAATTGAATTTCCACATGAATGCTTCGTTTCACAAAGCTACGTATTATCTCGAAATATTAAGATCTTTGAATTCTTTATATATTTAAAGAGAGATATATATCTCTCTAGCATAATATAATTTACTAATCATAAGTACAGTGTATTTATGACAAGTAATAGATAAAATTAATTCATTATATACACAATATTACATGTATATGTATATGTATACCGCAATTGTATATCTAAGTTCCCGTTTTCCTCAAATATTACCAAAACCGTATATTAACATTATTTCCGAGAAACAAGCGCAGGTACTTGTAGAGAGCTCTTCACTACTTACATTATGTTCTCCTACATTAAAGCAATATTCCCCATATAGCCAAATATAGCTACAATTTCGCATTGCGATGCAATTGTTCACATTCGAGTACAAAGAGACTGTGTCATTCCCATGAAATTTGGTTGAATAGCTGGATAGCGTGAATACGAGGAAGGTCGACCAATGCAACGCACGTTTTAAATATTTGCCCGGTGAGCTCTCTTTATCTCTCTATGTCTATATCTCTCTCTGTTTATAAAAAAAATCCCTAGTCAAATCGATAAGCCCATCGTCGATTTCACGGCAAGCCGCGGCCCGCGAGTGAAAACGCGGTCGATTAGTCAGACGATCCAGCTTCGATCATCGGAGTTCGGACAAATGACAAATCCGACGCGATGTCAAGGGCGGGCGCGATAAAAACCGGTTGTTTTTCGAGACAAATTGCGCTTTTGCGCCACCCGAGAGGTTCTTTTTCCATCCCTCTTGTCAACGCGACCGGGACAAGAACAAGAGGCGAAAAAAGGCCGAGCACGGGGCAGAGGTAGGCGGAAAAGGCGTTAAGAACTATAGGCGGAACCGTTACGCTTCGTCCCTTTGACCTTCGAGCAAAACAAGAATAGTGTGAGCACCGACTTTCCTTCCACTTAGACTCCGCTGGCGACTGAAAGAAGATCGTCCTTTTGTTTCATTAATCTAAGCAAAGTAGTCGCTGCGGAACTGCGGAAGGCGGCCGAAGTGACTGCGCGAATCAATACGCGAACGTAGTTTACATATGTAATCGACGAAGAGATGGCGGTATCGAAAAACGAAGATTTAAAAGCGAAAATAGATTCCTTTTGCAACATAAAATTCAATTCTCGAAAATTCCATCCGAAAGTATAAACTCAGCTTTGAAACGCAGGATATTTATATTAATATTTATTTAGCTGTTGGAATGCGCAATTTATATTTTCCATTTTGCGTTATATCCTAAATCATATACCGTACGTATAAAATCTACGATATATGTCAACACACATTTTTAATTTAAAAAACTTTTGTGGTTATTTTCAATTTAAATTGATTTTAATTAACACTAATTTTTTTTTAGTATTCTCCAATATTTTTAATTTCCATTAACTTCTATTCAATGTTTTTTAATGTCAATTGACAATCGCCTTTGCCACAATGTTTCTGCGTTTCGAAATAATTATTTGCTCCGTAATACATCATTTAAATTCTTACTCTCTTGCAGTTGCCGAAAGATAATGGGAACGCTGGGGGCTCTTAGTTATCCCACACGCGTGCTTACGAGTTAAGATCAAGCGATGCAAAGTCATAAATTAATATCACGGAAGCACCTTGCGCAACTACACAAGACTACACGTAATTCCGTGACTTATGCGAAGAGAATGCATATAGCGGAATCGTGCAACAAATGTGCAAACATGCAAATACCGATATCACTTTACTCGGTCTTTATGACCTGGAATGGAAAGCAGAAGCAGCTTGGTGAAAACGAGATATTAGGACGCGGCAGTTTTTGCCGCTTGTAAACCTTGAAATTCAAGAATATACAGTCTTCTTCCAAACTCTTTCTTTCTATTTCAAATGCACGCAACAATTTAAGGGAATTTTAACATTTTTCTCATTTAAATTAAAATTAACTTAATTTCAAATTTGATTTAATTCGATTCTTGTTTCAATTCTTTCTCTCTTTTGATTCTAATTAACTATCTGTTTAAGACAGATTTCTAGCCCGTAACGAAATAATTTGTATATAAGATCGTTTACATATCATACTTTGCTTGTTATCCATACATAATTAATTAAAAAGAAGAATCTTTGAATTGAAGACACTTATCGAGGTCGTCGATCAAAAGAAGTCAGCCTCACGTCTCTCTCTCTCTCTCATCGCGCTTAACTTCAATAAAACTCAAAGCAAACTCGGACTTTGGAGCACGCTCGCAACGCGAAGCCCTAAGCTATAGTTCACCTCGTTTATGCGGAAGTCCGGCACCGGCTCGAAGCGATGAAGTTCCCACGCCGTGGCTTGAAATCGAACCCGACCGCTATATCGAAAATAATCTCCGACCTTGCCGAGTGTGCGATCGCCATCACATTCCCGCTATCTTACGCGTTAAACTTTTGCAACCGCTAACACAACTTTCTCATCGGTCTGTCCATTTGTCGACTTTGCAAATCGGACGATAGAAAATATCGTCCGGCAGACCATTCGCTTTTTATTTTTAGAACAATTTCCAGGTATTAGATCACGAGTTATTCATAGATCTGCACAGACATGACTTGATTTTTTTCTGGAACATTTTCACTTAAGATAGAAATGTGAGATCTAGAATGTCATGGGGAGAGAAATTGGATGGTATTATTTGTAACAATTAATTAAATAAACAACGACACATTGAGAAAGAGCTGCTCGTGATTTTATAAGTCTATTTTCGGTGTTTAATATGTACGGAGTAAATACTTACAATTAGATTAGCACACATAAATAACTGCAAATGTTCTTTCAAAACAAAGTTTCGTATATAAGTTTTACAACAACCGACTTCCTTCGTTCTACTTCTACACGTATAAAATATACGTATAGTCGGTAATACGTGCGTTACGTCATCATGTTTGTGGCAATGAAACGTCACGTTTGTAACGAAGTTTCGTGTACGGCCGGGCATGGTCACGTGATCACGCACAAAAGCTGTAATATTACATTTATGTAAACCCTTTTTATTTAAAAAGAAAATAAATCATAATTATGTATATTTCAGAAATTTCTTCTCCCATTTCTGTTTCCACGACTCTTTCCCACGACTCTATTCCACGTCTCTATCGAATTTGCTATAGCCTATTTATCGAGAACAATATGACATTAACTGCTAACACCTGTACTTTACAAACTATTCAACGTACAAATAATGTTTTATTTAAAGACCTTTCGCAATCGACGTAAATTTATGTTATAGAAACTATACTCTTAATAAGTTGACTGTAAATGTTACGGAACCTTTCATTGACGTTAAAAAATAATTAATAAATTCAACACTGCGCTATGTTGGTGAATAAATAAGAGTAAACGTCGAAAAATTATGTTTCAGCACAATGTTATGGCGCGTAAAAGAACTTATAAAATGCTGTGTACTACATGCGAGGTCATTATTTAGACGAGGTTCGTTATTAAATCGTTATTAAACCAATTCCGCAATCAGCAACGCAAGTGGCGACGTTTCTAACACGTAGAACAATTTCTAGATATGCTACGAATGTTTGTTAAAATAATTTCACTGAGAGACGCAACGCGACAAACACCTAAAATTCCGGGAAATGGTGCGTTCGGTAAGTAGTACGGCATGTCTGACCTTTATTTGACTATATCTACTTGGCCGGAGTGAAAATTACCTCCGAGTCTCTTCTCCGTTTATGCGCAAACATTATAATTGCATATATTCATTATAAATTATGCGAACTGTGTTTGCCTGAATCGTGTAAATTATTTTAAAGAATTATATATGTACGAGTATATTATATAATTAAAAAAAGTTATTGTATATATATGTATAATTGCCTGTTTTCAGATGAATAACTTTTAACGATTACGCTTTCTCCCATTTGCAAAATGACACCTTTGCTCAAGGAGATTGTCCAATTTATAATTTTTTCCTTAATATTACGCAGCGCTGCGATAGCATATCAAAGTTACTTTTGTGTGTACTACACTATCATTTACCATTGACCGATTATTTTGACACACTTGTATTTGTTGCGGACACCGGACAGTAACGTGTATAAGCATCCGGACAGAGTGCAGTTTCGACCGTCATCCGCAGCGGTGGTCTGTCGACGCACTCCAATTTGACGGTTACTCCGTTTTTCGAGCTCGAATTAGAGGAAAGCGGCGCGGCGCGGCGCGTCTATTTCTCGCCAAGGACGAAGTCGTCGACCCCGATTACGAATTTATCATCATCCGGCGTAAAGCCGGACAAGCCCCCTCCCCTCCCCCTTCCCCCGAAAGCCGACGTGTCTCGCCGAGAACGAGACACGTCGAAACGGATGTTAAACACGTCTGTTAACGTTACTGTACTTACATGTTAACTCACGCGAGAGCGAAACTCGTGTGCGCGTCAAAGAATCGTGCGTGTGTCCCCGCGTAGACGCCGCGATAATCGAAACGCGGACAAAAAGCGTATTCGATATCGCCAACGTGAAATTCTCGGAGTCTCTCGACAGGCCACTCGCGGATGTCGGCCAACCTGTCCGGTAACGCGCGGGGCCGGCCGACGTCAACCCTTCCCATCTTTTTCCCCCAATTTTTCTTTTTATTTTTTTTTTTTATTATTTTTTTTTAGAATAGCCTCACCTGCTGCGAAGTCGATCGAATCACTCCATGATGTCACTGTCAACGGCCGACTTCGGCTGCCTCGGGAGAGCGTCCGCTCCGGGAGTCCGGACGGCCCTGAATACAAGACACAAAACACCATCAACACGTACGCTCGGGGGAGCGCGCGGGGATGTAATTCGCGACGCGATCCGGAAAGCGACACACGGCGAGAGGAGAGAGAGAGAAAGAGAGAAAAAAAAATTTAGAGCGAGGGGAGCGCGACGAAGAGACAGAGAGGGGGGAAGAAGAGAGACAGAGAGCGAGCGACACGAACGTTACACGTCCGGTTTCGCGTCCGCGCGTGCACTGACTTCTGCTCTGTCTGTTCAGGCGCGCCAGAGCCCGCAGTCCATCCACCTTGGGCCACTGTAGACTCGTCGCTAGGTTGCCATGGCGACCGGTCAACAGCACGCGCGCAGCGCAGTCGGCGCGAGCGAGACGCCGTCACGCGGTTGTCGATGGGGGGTCGGCGGGGCGAGAACCGCGGTAGCGGGGCGGCGGGAGAGGGGGAGGGGAGGAGACGAGACAGGGGAGAAATTTCCACGTTTTGTGGAAAATTCCTTTGAACAAGTGGAAATAATGAAATCACGCGTCGCGCGACATCATTCGCCGCAAGAAAATACATATTATACATTTGAAATCTCCCCTTTGCTCTTTCGCCCCCCTCTCTTTCTCACCCCCTCTCCCTCCCCGCACCGTGAAAATATGCAACGAGATATATTAAAATATATAGTTAATGCGGCTAATAATATCGGGGGAAATTAAAATCAGAATGATAGAATGCTGCTGTTGAACGTGTAGCATAATAACATATATCAACGCGTGTAATTGGTTGAAATTATTAAAAGCGTAAAGACCACTTTAATGATTTATAATTTATATCAGATTTTAAGGGATGAAATTCTATTCTAGTATTATACATGCATGTGTGTTTTTAATTCTTCACACGCTTTTTCGGTATTGCATAACTCATAACATACATCAGAATTAAATTTAGAAATTTATCGTGAATTCTGATTTGTGACGAATTATAGATCTGAAATAGATTTAAAACGTTTCGTAATTGGAAGAAATTAAGAGTTAACCGCAATAATACTTGACAAGAGAAAAATAAGACTTGGCAAACTTGTGACTATACATATAACTGTTTCTTTCACAGTTTAAAATAATACGCATTAAGCAATTAAAAAAAACCATGAACACAGACATGTAACGATTTATGTATAATTGTAAATTGAATATTTTCGTGTGTTTCTCGGATACGTGTGTGTGTGTATCGCAATAATCAGCCATTACCTATTTTATTATTCTCGTCGCGATCAAATTTGCAATTCATTTTTTAGATCGCATTTGCGTCTCCATTTTCCGCACGTTTCAATCGGCACAAAGTAGGAAAGTATGGAAAATCAATAATACGGTTTAATAACTTTCTCATGCACCGCGCGGAAAAAAAATTCGGGCATTTCGGGCATATACGTTTCACTGGTATACGTATATAGGTATCCGGAGAATTAATAACGACCGCATGTTGAAAAGAACCGTCGAATTTCGGCGCAATGGCCGAGGCCATCAAATAAGCTGATGCTGCAGAAACGTATTCGCGAATATGTAAGCTTTCTATCAGCGCGACAGATTTTCTGTGATCGGCACGACGGATCGTCATCATTTCGATCTTTTCTCGCATATACTTTGCATATTTGTTTCACGCATGCAAATGACAGATAAATTATTTGACAAAATTAACGGAATAATTTAAATGTTCAAAGTAAATCATAGAAGATAAAATAATTATATCTTTGACGATCTTAGACTTGAAATGAAAGCGCAGCTGAATGCCAAAAGATAAAGACCAACAGTTAACGATCGAAAAATAAAAAACGCAAACACTCCAATGTGCAAGGAATATTTATTATTTACCTCAAAACCCCATATTTCCGCGTAACTTAGCTCCGCTTTTATACCGATTCAATTATCCGTAATTTCCCCCAACTTCCTAATTTATTAATTAAAGAATTTGCATGTTGAAGAAAATCTCTCGCGACTGAATAAAACGCGTAGATAAGACGGCAAACAAGAAAGATGGACGGCAAGAAAGAAAGGAGGGGAAATAAAGAACGAGGCAGGGGATTCCGGGCTGGATTATGCGCATCGTGGAAATTAATAAGAGGCACGATGTAAACGTGCACGGTTGAAATGCGCCCTCCACGAAGAAAGGATCGTTAATGCCGGGCTTGTTTTACTTTTTCTCTCTCGCTCTCTCTTCCTCTATCTCTCTTTTTTTTAATGCCGCTCCAGGACGTCGATACGATGCGACTACGTGAATACGTGACTTCCAACTCGAGCATCTCATAAATACGAGCAAATTCCCTGAAGTGGAGAGGTGAGCGACTCATTCGACGGCGAAAGCGCGGACAAAATGTCTGCGGCGAAGTTTCGAAAAAGAAAAAGGACAGATACATGGGGCTCTCGGGGGGAGAATTGCGAAAATTAATTTACTCGCGGTCGTAAGTGAACCACTTGTTCCGCACGTTCTCCACGTACCTACGCCGATAGTGGAACGGAGATTTATTTTTACCTACCTGCGTTATCGCGTGCATGCAAAACAGTTCCGATGCGGAACTTGCGTTTTCGCAGATTTAATTACGCCTGTTTCGATAACTCGCAAGAAGAACAAACAAATCTTAAACCTCTCTCGCGATTTAATAGCTTGTTATTCAGCTGCTACCACTATCGCAAATTAGAGCCTATGTATAATAACCATAAATTAATGTATAATAATTTTATCCCAATTTAATCTCGATTTAATCGCATTGCTATAGTTCCGTAATAAAGCGACTAATTAACCTCTTCTAAGCTAGCAGGACCAAATCGGCAGAATCAAACTGAACCTATCAGAATATTTAGTACCCATTTTGTACTATTTTGTACCACTAATAACAATTTTGTATCCTGTGCCATTTCGGAGAAAATCGTGGCGGTGCTACCTTAGCATTAAGCTAGAAAGACCACAAAAAAAAAGAAAATTAAATACAGAAATTTGAAGGACTGAATTTGTACTAATTTGTACCATACAAATAAACTTAATATATTCATCCCTTCTGCTTCAAACAGCTCCTAATAGAACTCAGTCCTATTAGTCTCAAGAGTAAAGTACTCGTTCTCATCAGCAGAATCAATTGCTACCGGCAAGGTTCTGTACGGAAGACATTGAGTCAAAAATTCATTAAAATAAAGAAAAAAAAGCTGGGGAAAGGTTTCTTCTGGAAGATACATCCAGACGATCATTTTTAAAAATATAAAATGCCAACTTTACAGTGGCACCGCAGTATGCATATGTAAATAATTTAATTTAATAAAAATTTCAAGAAAAATTTAACAAAACGAAACCGGAAAAAACTGTAAGTTGCGCATATATTATAATCTATTGCCTTGAAAAGGATAGGATCGGAAATGGATAGATTCTAGAGCCTAGAAAATATGTTTGTAATTTATGTAAATAAAAGTGGTCAGCCACTTTCCTCCCCTCCTCATTACTCAAAACTACTAATTGTCAAAATACAAAATATATGTGAAAAATAGATCTATAATTTTAAATTAAAGTCCATTAATGCTTTGCACATAATTATTGATACAATTATTATCATAATTACGTATTAAAAGTAAATCATTAAATAAAAAGCTGATAATATGTAAATAATTTAATTTAATACAAATTTTAAATTAAAAAATTTTAATAAACCGGAACCGGAAAAAAACTGATTTGCGCAATAAAACATTAAACTAAAAAATAACTTACCGGCCGATGCGCAACAGCGGAGTTGTAAGTTGTAACCCTGCGTTGATCTGTAACATAACAATATTTTTACATTAAAGTAGGTGTCCAAGATAATATTATCTATAATTAACGAATATCATGTAATGGACGAATCAAAAATTGCGCACTTGAGAAAGTGGCGGATATTCCGTCACAGGACTGACAGGACTGACAGGACTGACAGGACAGCAAAGTAATAGACGAATAACAATTTAACTACTCACCCCACGGTTGCTCCGCCGTCGCCCGATGCCTCCCCAGGCCTCCTCCTCTCCACGATTCGCCAGGTCCTACTCCGTTGCAGCGTTGGTCCGTTGGCCGGTTGGCGCACTCACTACTCACTGACGACGTTCACGAAAATCGACGATAACATCGCGTCGCTTATGATCGCGCGATATTTTCGACACTTTGCACGACACTTCCGGCATTAATCTCGCGACGCAACGGAAAAATTACGGCGGAGAAGCTGCATGATCCGCTCGACGCCATGTCCGTCGGCCCGTGCCGCGATCTCCCGCAGGTAGACGAACATGGCGAAATTTCGTAAATCGCACGGCCGGCACGGCCAACTTCACCCGCCAAAAGCAACCGTGGCGTCGCGTCACTTCACTCGCGACGTTCACGAAAATCGACCGATATCGTCGCTTATGATCGCGCGACACTAAAGGCACGGCACTCCCGGCATCAATCTCGCGACGCGGCAACGGAAAAATTACGACGAAGAAGCTGCGAACGAAGCTGTATGATCCGCTCGACACCCGTTGGCCCACGTCGGCCCGTGCCGCGATGTCCATTGTCCCGCAGATAGACGATAACATGGAGACGACGTTCACGAACGAAAATCGACGACATCGTCCCTTATGATCGCGCGACACTAAAAAGGCACGGCACTCCCCGGTATTAATCTCACGGCACGGACGCGGCGCGTACTTCATTACACTTATTATAGGCTGCGTTCGCTTTGATTGCTTTCGGAACGTAACCGATGGTCCAATGACAAAAATTCGTTATCGAAAAAGAAATTCTCTCATTGGGCCATCCGACATAGGCGACATACGACTGATTGTATTAGAACCGGCTTTAAATGAACATTCGATGTATCACATTTTTCTGTAATCTGAATAATCGGACCTGGCGATTCGTACTTATATTACTCTGCGATGTGCGATCCGCGAGCAACGACATCAGAAATCAGAACGGGCCGCGGGCGCCTTGGTAACATGAGCAGTGGGGATAGAGAGGGGTAGGCTTTATGCGATACGCATTCGCATACCCGGCATGCGGGCATACCGAACTAACCGACCGCGCACCGTGTGTATTCACCTTACCCCCACTCTATCCCCACTACTCGTGTTTACCGCGACGCCCGTGACCTGTTCTGACGTCAGACGTGTCGTTACTCCCGCGCCCCGCGCCCCTCGCTCCAGTTCCCGTTCCCATATCGCGGAGTAAATACACGAGTCGCCGGGTCCGATTGTTTAGCTTGCGAAAAACTGTGATACATATATCGAAAGTTCATTTAATTCATGTGTTTCGAGGATAATCCGTAGTTAATCAAAGTCGCGTAATCGCGTAATCGCGTTCTCGAGACAGTTGCTCCGGGCGAGTGAAGTTGGCCGTGCGCGATTTACGAAATTCTCTCCGCCACCTTCGCTTCACTTGTCGTGTCTACCTGCGCGCGGGAATCGCGGGATGTCACGGTGCGGCGTCATGGCGTCATGGGGGTCAAGCGGATCGTATAGTTTCGTTCGTAGTTTCTTCGACCGCGACGTAATTCTTCTGTCGCCGTGTAACTAAGTTTCTTAGTTACCGCGTCGCGAGATTAATACCGGGAGTGCCGTGTGCCTTTAGTGTCGCGCGACCATATAAGAGGAGTCGATATCGTCGATTTTCGTTCGTGAACGTCGTCGCGTTGTGAGTGAGTGCGACAATGGACCAAGGACCAACGGAGTAACGGAGGACGATCGAGGAGAGGAGAACGGGGCCTGGGAGGCATCGGGCGACGGCGGAGCGACCGTGGGGTGAGTAGTTGTTAATTTTCTTATATATTATATTTTGCCGTCCTGTCAGTTCTGTGGTGGACTCCGCCACTTTCGTGGTTTTTAACTACGGTGCAATTTCGGGTCGAGTCTGATCTCCGGCGTATGCGAGATATTACGTCGCGAACGTCGCGTCTCTCTCTTATTCGCACGGTCGCAGTATTATTTGCACAATTTTTCGCGGATGAATTATGCGAACTAGTTAACACGGAAATATCCAGCCGCTTATTGCGGCGCCGGCGGCCGCGGTTGTTTTTTACATTTTAAAATCAGATATTTGTTAAAATGACGCTTTAAAAACGGGCAATAATTATTTACTTTGATAATTATTTACTGTCGATTATCTTGGACGTAGCTTTAATATAAAAATATTTCTTTTGTTACAGATCAACGCAGAATTACAACTCCGCTGTTGCGCATCGGCCGGTGAGTTATTTTTTTAGCAGAAGGGATAAATACATGTATTAAGTTTATTTGTATGGTACAAATTAGTACAAATTTAGTCCTTCAAATTTCTGTATTTAATTTTCTTTTTTTCTTTTTTTTTCTTGTGGTCTTTCTAGCTTAATGCTAAGGTAGCACCGCCACGATTTTCTCCGAAATGGCACGGGATACAAAATTGTTATTAGTGGTACAAATTAGTACAAAATGGGTACTAAATATTCTGATAGGTCCGGTTTGATTCTGCCAATTTGGTCCTGCTAGCTTAGAAGAGGTGACTAATTATTGTCGCGTACATCAATATAATTATTATTTTAATCTGTCGACGATCGATAATCACGATGACCGAGTAAAAGGGTGCGTTATTAGACTTTATAGCAAAAATTACATGAATTATTAAAGCATTCCCGATGCATAACGTGCGTTTAAATTCGCGCGTAGAAAAGAATCGCAAGATACACGTTAGATTTACAAAATACTACGATTGGGTATTCTCCACGAGCCGATTTTAGCACGTACCTCGGCTCTACGCGTTTTGATAACGTAGCTATAGAATTTCACTGTTTACCACAACGCAACGCGCATCCAAACTGTATACTGCATCTGTAATCCCGACTATCCTACTCCAATGTATAGATTGCTCCCGATCTATTTTCAAAATTAGACTAAACCGCAACAACTACCCAGACATAAACGCGCAACCTTACATGTAAGTATCGCTACACGCTCGCTCCATTTTTATCCTTTCGAATGGATCGAGAAAGTCTCGCTTTTGTGTGAACGAGTAACAATGTAGAAAGAACGGAAAAGCTCGCGTTACAAATTCTCTGTAAAGGTCTTTGTGATGCGAAAGGATACTCCAAATTTTTCTTAGTTTTCAACAAATATAAATTAATCAAATATTTTTAGTCATCGGGCAGGATCTTATACCTAATAGTGATTTTTTGTGAATTTTATAGTTTATATTTTGTCTCGTTTTTAACTGTTAATTACTGTTCAAAAATATCGAGACAAAATGTATAAAAATTTACAAAAAAGTTATTATTAGGCATAAGATCTCGACCGAAAATGTTAACATATTTATTTAAGTCTATATTATACACATATTCTTTGATATTTACTCATTAACATTTATTGTAACTTTCGTAATCATTCTAATATTTTTATCTTCTAAAAAATGTTCATATATACATCGATCTTCGTGCTATCACTCATCTAAGGATTTTCTTTACGCAGGAAATTACACAGGAAATTCGCAAAGTGTTTTATTCAGCATGCCGTTCCAAAGTTTTATTCAGCATTATGCCGTTCCAAAGTTGATAAATTTTCATTAAGTACTGATCACGCTTCCTGTTCTGAGATTCCTCGTCAATTTAACCTTCTTTTTCAGTAGAAGCAGAAGGCCTTCGTTCAATCATGCAGCGAACAAAGACTCACCGCGTCATGTTATTCTCGTACTATACCTCGTATGCGAGATCGCGCATATTTTCAGCGCTCGCGGTGAAAGAAACACTAGGGAACGGAGCCACATAAATCTAGTTAAATCTAGGAAAAGCATAGCCGAAGCAATGAAGAAACATGCGCGCAAGCGTTACAACGACTTTTCGTGGTTTATGGATACGTGGGTAACAAAACTACGCCAAGTCCATTCAAAATCCCTCTCTTTATGCCTTCGCACATCATTTGCCCGGGTTTTCATAATCCTCGAGCCCCTCCGGGGGAGACGCTTTTACTCGCCGATATGGTTACCTCGGCCTTCCATCAAAAGGCGAAATCGGAACATTTGAACTCAGCAGTCAGAAGCGAATTGCTTGCATCTGCCGCAATATTGGTGACTTAGAAAATGTCAGTAACTCAGTCAGATACGATTATTGAAAAATTTTAGAGACTGTGAAGTAAGATAGAACCTCAACTTTTATCCTAGTTATATTCTGATAATCGCTTTCTTAGCAAGAATTTAATTTAAAGTTTAATTATCGAGCTATTTAATATTATGCATTAAAGGCTGAGAAGTAGGGGGAGAGATGGGAAGATTATACCGTTAATCCTTGGCACAAAGAATCTATAAAAATATACAAATTAAAATATACCATTCTTCAGGCTGTAAACAAGAGAAAATTTAAATTGACTTGTTGTAAATCAGCATGAAATATATGTGACAAAAAGATCATCGCGACACGCACAGATGATACCAGTCACTCGGGAATCGAGAAAAGGCAACGGCGCGGCGCGAAATCCCGACGTGAAATCCGATCAGAGTACATCCTTTATTCGAAAACACGATAGGAGTACTCGTCTCGAGATGAAAGCGTAAATTCCGTTCACATGACTGACATCACAACCGCGCTAGTGCAATTTGTATCCATAATTTTAATCTCGCGAAAAACGCGAATATCCTTTAGCGCGAGAGCTCGCGCCGCGGTCGGTTTCCCCTGTCGAATGGAAGAAAAAGAGAATCGCATTCACTGTAGGACTCTTCACCGCGCGTATTAGCACCGCGCCGCGCGCCACGCCTGCGAAATGATAACGAATCGCTTTTACGAAATTACAGCGCGCGTGTATAGTACGCTAGGGTTGGGTAGTGATTTCTACGAGATCCCCAAAGCTAATCCCTCCTTTGGAAGCAGCAACCGTATTATACAAGACGCACATTCGGAAGCTCTAACATTCAAATACTCCATTTCTGGGTGTGTGAAAATTTTATTAATAGTCATATAAAAAAATGTAACATCGCTTTCTCTATTCCTACAGTTTCTTTATATTAAATTATCGGTATTATATTCAATAGAAACTTCAAAATTAGTTTGCGCGAGACTACAAGTAAAGATTAGGTATACTTGCTGTCTAAAAAGCGTAAATACGAGTTTTCTTTTCTTCTATATGTAACATATATCTAATATCACAGTATTAGAAAATAATTTTGAGCAAGATTATTCCGCAATGGTCTTTGACACCGCTCCAAAGCCTACAATTCATTAGTTTTCGCGTAAATGCGTCCCTGTAGTGCGGATACGAACAATTCGAGCGGCGCAGGATGGACGAAAGGAAGAGTGAGAAGAAAAAGCTTTTCCCGCTGGCGGTGAATCGAGCACGCGTAAATTATCATTCATCCGGCGAACGTGACGCGCAAAAGAGGAACGCGAGCGCGGTGGCACGAAAAAGAACAAAAGGGATCGTGAACGGCGGATGGGGAAGGAGGGTGGAACGAACGGGGGAGGGAGGGTGGCATCCGGCCGATCTCGTTAATGGCGAGCCAGAGGCATCGAAGCTAACCCCGATTCGACACACATACGAAAAAGCTTTCCGGCTTGTCGTCCGCACGGATTTGTGTCAACTGCGACGCGAAGCGGCAGCCACGAACTTTACGAGAGTGCCGTCGGAGGAGACGAAGGCATGGCGGAGGTGATGGTGGTGGAAGGGCAAGGAGAGGGATGCGCCTGTCGATATTCACAAGCTCGCTAAATTACGAGAACTTCGTTTCTGCTCAAAATCTCTCCTTGAAGGTGCGAGCGCTTCCGCTTCTAGGACAGCGATGGTCTTCGGGAAATACTGCGGAATATTTCTGCTCCGTGACTGTCAACGCGGATCCGACGTTTGCTTTATATAAGAAAGACAATTCGCGAGAGGTTGCGGAAAGTTGTGATTAATTTGGAATTCATATATGTATAAAAGATTTTGATAATAAAAAATAGGAATACCGAATAATTGAGTCGACGATAACAAAATAATCTTCAAATGATATAATTCTAATCTCTTCAATATAATATACGTAATAATTATCATTATATAATTTTATGTAATACATGTAACATTACATACAGTATTTAAGTTGTATGTTTTAATTGATAAAGTTTGAAATTTTAAGGTTGTTTTGTTTTAATTTATTTTGTATTTGGAGATTGGAATTTTACTCATAGAATATAATATAATGTAAAGTAAAACTTTTAAGTTTAGAATTTCGAAATCTTGGATTGCGTGCTTTGCATTTAAATGTTTAAATGTCAAATATTAAAGGTAAATTTTAAATTTTGTGTTCATGGTTAAATTCTGATTTTGAGTCCAAACCCTGAATCTCTCGATTTAGCTTTGAGATTATATGGAGAGGTTAAAGCCATAGTGGTGTAAGTCAATTTTTTTGACCACTTTTTTTTCTTCTTTTTTCAACATATCTGCATGTGTAGACTGCATCTATGAACTTAACTCGATAGGTTTAAAAAAGTGACTTAAACCACTATGACTTTAACCCCTCCATATATTAAGATGATATAAGATAGATATGTAAAATAAATAACGTAAAATATGGTGTTGAGCTATATATTGTATTGTACGGAAGCCCATCTAAAGTCGCATATGGGCACGGATTAATAAATCTATCATTACATACAATATTATATTATATATGTTAATATTGTATTATATTATATTATGTTAATTATATATATGTGTGTATTATATCGTATTATACAACATGTAAAATATATTAAGTTTATTTATCGCAAAATTACAAATATGAGTACTTGTCTCTAGAGTCACTAGAAAAATATTAAGAAGCAAATACTTGCGATTAGAAAACTATCATTTGCCTCGTTTATTTGAAATCATCGTTACAAAAACATATCTATATTTTAAGTTATATATTTTTATCTGGGCAGTATATACGCGCAATGAAATTACATAAATAATTGCCAGAGGTGTCATATCTCTGAGCAACAATACGGTGCAGTGTTATTTAGATTTCTCGCGCTGCTTATTCCAGCACAGCGCCGTTAGATGCTTTAATACGACTTCCATCACGTTTACGATACCGTTTTTAGGCCCACCGGCGCGTTCCATGCCCCTGATTCATCCCTGCAGTGTCGGAAACGCGATTATCGCGGTGCAATGCCGTAGGAGGTGCGCCGCCATTAAATCACAAGTACATTATGCGAGATTAGAGCGTCGAGAATGAATATCCAAAGCGCGACTGGCGCGGGTTTCGTGCCTGCTGATACACCCTCGCTATCTCGCTTAAACACCCACGAAGAACGCCGAGAATCCCCGTCACACCGTCGCGTCGCCGCGTCGCTTCGACAGTGCTTCGGTTATCGTTGTTGCATTCAAGCTAATAGCGAGTAAACGTGAGTTCGCACACGACGCGACGTGTACGTGACCTCGTGCGGCACACGTGAACGCTCACGTATAACGCGAAGGGCACGAGAGATCGGAAAGTGGAATCGGGAAATAGGAGCTGCAACTCAAGGCCCGCTGCGTTCGGCGATCGTGCGATTCGTGCGCGATTCGTAACCAGCGACATTCGTGAAACAAAAATGCGCACGCGTATCCTTAGTTAATACTTACCTTAAGTCCAAGTTATTTTGTAATACTTGCCGAGTTGATACTGCGTTTCAGCCACACGTTAGCTGCCGAATAGAGCTGGATGCTGGTTGGAAAGAGTTTTCTTCCGCCGCGAGTTTTCTTCGCGCCGTAA